GTTTCACTTGATACATCTCATCATGGTAACCTATGGATCGACTAGTGCCTGTTTGCACTTGTCAACTTGCGTCAAATTCATCAATAAGTTTTTTCCTAATTACAGTTTTAAGGGTTCTATTTGACAGGCCCAAATTATATTCAACGGTGTCTTTGTTAGACGCAGCTGGTTTTATAGTGATAGATAAAGAAAATGAGAGCTTACATACACAAAAGATACTGTCATGTCAAGAAAATATTTTTTGTATTGTTTTACATAAAATTATCTACAAGAAATACTTAATACGGCTCCATTAATAGTAGAGAGAAACCATTATAATAACATTGATATCAAAGAAATATATACGGATATATTTACAAAAGAACATTACAAATAAAATAAAAATAAATTAATTCTAAACATCAAAAAAGTAAAAAAAAAAAAGTGATACGTAAGAGAAAATATTAACTAAAAAAAAAAAGCTGGTTGGAAGAATGTAGACTGTGTTCGCCAGACAGACGCCTCTCCCCGGTAGGAAACAAAGGGTTGAAGCTCAGCTGATACACAAAGTGGTGATGGATTGGCCACTTCTCACTGAGGGAACTACTCGGCGTCCTTATGTTGATGGCTCTGATGTTGATGCTTATGTGTCTGTGGTGAGAGACGAGAGACTAGAGATAGTACGTGAGAGACGAGAGACTGGGGTACTAGAGATAGAAAGTGAGAAACGAGACACTGAGAGACTACAGATAGTACGTGAGAGACGAGAGACTAGAGGTAGGAAGTGAGAGACGAGAGACTGGGGTACTAGAGATAGGAAGTGAGAAACGAGACACTGAGAGACTACAGATAGTAAGTGAGAGACGAGAGACTAGAGATAGAAAGTGAAGAGCCAATGAAAGACATGATGAGATGTAGAGTAGTAAAAGAGTGAGACTAGAAGGAGAGAGAGAGAGAGACAATGAGAGTGAAGAAAGAGACACAGTGTGAGAGAACCCGGATGATTAACACTATAAATGAATCGTGTAACGCAAGGACAGTGGACAGTGTAATCAAAAGGGAAACAGTGACAACATGGGTGACAGTGACCAGAGGCGTTTGTGAGAGGGAAAACTGACGAGAGAGGGACTACACCAGTTAGCATGAGTTATGGGCTGTAAAGAACGTATACAAAGCGCATCAGCCTGTACACACTTTCGACAGTTATATATGCTTTGGGGTTGACTTAACACTGATACACTAGTCTTTTGTTGGTGTTAGTACTCGTTGTGTGTAGCTGCATAATGGTGTTTGGTAAATGGCTCCTATTAGAAAAGTATTTGAGTTATTTTATGTTTATATACTGTATATCTGTTTGTTGTTGTGATAGAAAGAATTATAATAAAACAAACTTGTAATTAAACCCTCACCGCCCTCACCCACTCATCCTCTCACCCCACTCACCCACTCAACCCCTCACCCCACTCTCCCCACTCAACCCCTCACCCCACTCACCCCTCACCCACTCACCCCACTCACCCACTCACCCCACTCAACCCCTCACCCCACTCACCCCACTCAACCACTCACCCCACTCACCTCCTCCCCTGAGCAAGCTATTATACTGAATTTTGACATTTGTGAAATCTGGAATTTGATTGGTTTTGATAATATTGGCAAACATTTGCAACAGTGACAGGTACAAAGGGTTAAGTTAGCTCCTCTGTTTGAGTTCCACAGTGTCAGAACTTTCAGATCATCCACCCGGCACCCCCACCTCCTCCTCCAGGTAGATAAAGCAATATATGTGATAATGTCAGCTAGAAGGATCCTTTGCTGAGGAGATTAAGGATTTAAGTAATGAATGTGGAACAGCTATGAAGCATTCGAATAAAATGAATATCATGGTTTAGCCCAATGTACAGTCGCCTCCACTAACACCTGGTACAGTGTCTGGCGCGTGCTGTGAGATGTGGCACCGCTGTGTTTGTTTATATCGTAATTCTGTGTTTATCTTAGGATCTGGTTATAGTGTGTCTGTATGTACACTCGCAACAAAAAGTATCGGTGCATACTGTAGTGTGAATAATTTGAGACCAGTGACGATAGGTATTGGGAAAGGCGAGTTGTTCCAGCCGTATGTTGGCAGCCCTGGTCAAGTAAAGCAAACCGTTATAAATAAGGTCGGGAAGTGATAAATAGAAAGTATGAAATATGAGGAGCTCCCTGTTAACAAAATTATTTGTGATACTTGTGAATATTGCCACATTAATTTATGCGACCAAATAAACCACTCAACCTGGTCGTCCTGAGGGGTGGTGCAGCGTGGACGGCCGCTCCGAGACCTGTCGTCTGTAGCACCAGTTTCGAGGTATCGCCGAATCCATCGTGCAGCGGTGTTCCTGTGGACACCAACCCGCTGGCTAATCTGTGACGCCGAACCCTTCGTTATGAAGTGCAATAATAGCTCCTCGTGTTCCCTCTGAGGTTTCCATGTCGTCTGGCATGTGTAGATCTCTACTGCTTCATATTGCCTCTGTTTTATACCCACGTTCACCGAGACCGACCCCTCGCTCATCATTCAGTCGACACAAAGCAACAATCCGAAAAGAGGAAACAAACACACTGATTGTCAGCCATATGGCAACACCTAGTGGAGGGGGGGTTATGAGGATACACTACCAACCTTCCCGACATATCACAGTGTATACGTATCGTTTCGGAAGTCGTCGATCACACCCTGCACCGATACTTTTTGGTGCGAGTGTACAGTTGGGGTCAAAAGTTCGCACCCCTCCCAAAATGAAGCAGTTTCTACCCCAAATGAGATGAACCAGCACAACCGCAGCCAGGGTAGGTAAATTCGGAGACTTATTCCCATGACTCAGTTTCATCACGGGGAGAGAACTTTTGTCCGATATTTTGAGGGCTATCAGAGACTGTCGTGTTGTCTCCTGGGTTGGTCAGTACAGTTAGTGGTGATAAGTTCGATATGAAGCTCAATGTTCGTTTGTCTTGTTACATGCTGGTGTTATCTCGGGACTCCCCCTTTACGAAGAACTCATTTATCTAGGTTTGGAAGATAAAATCCGACCGTTCTGGTAATTAAGTATTATTGTGTTCAGTTATACATCTCCTATACGTCTTGGGATCATAACACCAATCAAAGGAGATGAATTTTGTTGGTTTTAATCGTGGAAGGGAACGTAGTATCCACTTAATTATTGACTTGTTCTCTTCCCTGGGTAAAATAATAAAAAATTAGAAAAAGAGTCGAGACTTTAATCTCTGGCTACCAGCGAGGGAGGTCTGTGCCTAATTATATGAGTCACGGGAGGAACCTTTCGTACTGTTGGGTCGGAAAATGAGCCCATCACAGCTCTCGCCAGCTCTCATTAAGTTGTCAATGGCTGGAGCCACTGAGCCAGAATCACAACCCTCCCCTGCCCCCCACCTCCACTAGATCCCTCCACCCTCCTCCTCCTCCTCCTCCTCCTCCTCTCCCTCATCCCCACCCAACACTCTCCCCATCCCCACAACACTCTCCCTCATCCCCACCTGCCAACACTTCCCCATCCCCACCAACACTCCCTCATCCGCCCAACACCTCATCCCCACCAACACCTCCCCTCATCCCCACCAACACCTCCCTCATCCCCCACCAAACACTCCCTCATCCCCACCAACACTCTCCCTCATCCCCACTCAACACTCCCTGTCCCCACCAACACTCCCTCATCCATGCCAACACTCTCTCTCCTGACCCCACCCAACACTCTCCCTCATCCCCACCAACACTCTCCCTCATCCCCACCAACACTCTCCCTCATCCCCACCAACACTCTCCCTCATCCCCACCAACACTCTCCCTCATCCCCACCAACACTCTCCCTCATTCCCGACCAATACTCCCCCTCGTCCCCAACAGCCACTTCATGTCTTAAACTTTCCTCCCAACTTAAGAATATTGCTGCCCTTAACTTCAGTACAAGAGATAATGTTTTCTTTACCTTGTTCAAGTTTTATTTAATCATGTTGTGTGTTCTCGCTGACGATCATTCAGTAAACAACTCACTTCTGAAACAATACATCAACCATCACTCCATCATTCCCTCCCGGATCTTTTTCAAATAGTTAGAATGACTTTAGATTTGAAAGATATTTGTCTACTTGTGGAATAGGTAACTCGTACCAGGAAATATCTTAAATAATTTTGTGTGAGACAATATGACACAACGGACGAAGGATTTTGATAACCCTACCGAGACAACAGGAGTCACAGTGTTCATTTTGACAAGCCATTTATTCCCTCCGTAACGTTACTTTTAAGAGTGTGTGTACATCATGAACAACTACGATATGTTCTGATCACCCAAATTCCATTTAATACTTACGTCATCTTCCTCAGGTTTCCTAAGTGAGATATTTAATCACTTTCCGCGTAATCCTATAATACCTTGTGTTAGTATCCTTACGGAATCTCTGAGAGCCGAGAGGATTTCAACCTAAGAGAATACACCATTATAGTCAAGGCTTTCGACATCGTCAAATAAGTTGTTCAATCTCAGCTCCCTGTTTGATAGCCTGAGGGCGAGTGTAGTAGTTGGCGGAGCTTCTACCAGAGTTGAATTGGCTACCGATAGTGTTGGCTGTTCCAGGAGGTCCGCCGCCAATCATTCACATTTCACATTCAATTTGTAGGGGTGGTGTTCTCCTCTGTGTGGCTGTGATCTTCTTAATGGCAGACTAGACTTCAGAGGAGAGAATATCCTTGTTGTCAGTGGAGATAAACCCTCGTCACGGCTTCCTTCTCCTCTCCTTAATGACCGTCTTAGTGTGAGTCCTTGATTCTGGTACTATCCTTGATAACTCTCCTCTTAACTAGGTGGGAAAACCAAAACACGTATTACGATTACTTATTAGTTCAAACAAGCAAAATTTGTATTAAAATCAAACATCAGATTTAATCCCTTCACTTTATTGGGTTATGTGATTAATGTTCATCTTCAGATAATCTATAATATCTTTTCTTTCTCTTTCAGACACGGGCGAGGTGTGGGAGGCAGACGACTCAACTCTTCCTGGCAGCATCTCTTGCCTGTGGTCTCTCAACTCGACAAGAAATTAATTAAAAATTATACTAGAAATACAATGGAAAAGTGTGACGTGATCTCATTTTAAACAATTTTACATACATGATTGAAGTTAATAATGACAACTTGAACATACTTCTTGAGTCACACGAAAATAAAGTGTGATTAGTGCCTATAAAGGATTTATTTTAGACTTAGAGAGTACTGAAGAAAAAATACTTGTTCTTTTGTGTCATTTGCATCGGAGTGAGTGTGAGTGAAGGTGTGCTGGTGACGTTGATGGTGAGCGGTGGTGGAGGGTTCCTGGTGACATGGGGCACACAGCCTTGCATCAGCCGGGCTAAGTCTCAAGAGACGTGGTGCTCGCTGTGGCTATGTTGGCCTCGGCGGGCGTGGCAAGTCCAACACCATCCCTACACCCTCTCTTCAACATATCCCACGCCGCCAAGTTGATTTTGCAGCCCTCTGAAGCCGCCCACACCCCAGCTGAGGGCGCACAAGGACCAATGGTAGGCACTGACTCTGCTTTGGTAACGGTGGATCCGGTTAACTACACAGTGCTCGGTGATGGAGGGGTGGAGACCGGTGGGAGTGCTCTTTATATGCTGTTTACGACGGTGCTGGTGGTGCTAGTGCTGCTTATGATCATCGTGGGTACTGTTGTGGGAAACTTGCTTGTGTGCGTCGCCGTCTGCCTCGTCAGGAAACTCAGGAGGCCATACAACTATCTACTTGTTAGTTTGGCAGTGTCAGATCTGTGTGTGGCACTGTTGGTCATGCCCATGGCTCTGTTACATGAACTGTTGGGCGAATGGCAGTTCGGACAGTTAGCCTGCGACGTGTGGGTGTCGTTTGACGTATTATCCTGCACTGCCAGCATCCTCAACCTGTGTATGATTAGCGTGGACAGATACTTGGCCATCACCAGACCTCTGGAGTATGGTGTTAAGCGGACTCCTCGTAGGATGGTGGCTTACATCGCCTTTGTCTGGCTCGGGGCGGCCTTCATTAGCGTTCCGCCCATCCTCATACTCGGCAACGAGCACGGGGACGGCTCCATCTGCGAGGTCTGCCAAAATTTTTGGTACCAAATCTATGCCACCTTCGGCTCCTTCTACATTCCCCTAACAGTGATGGTCATCGTTTACTACAAGATCTTCTGCGCCGCCAAGAGGATCGTCGACGAGGAACGGAAGGCCCAGGCGCACCTTCGTCTGGTGGAAGAAGCTGAAGCAGACGCCCGGGCCTCTACTGCTGTGCTTGGATCATACACTCAGCTTAAACCAGTGTCCAGGTAAGTTAACACAGTAATACAACGAGTTTATATTGTTCAGTAGGAGTTACCTCACCTTCAATGGTGGTACATTAACATAAACTGACAAATATAACAACAAATACTCTGTTGAGTGTCTGAGTGAATGATCATACTCAAAGTATATTTCTCCTGCATCTATTGGACCCTCGATATAACGAAACTTTCTCTCCATATTGAGTGTTAAATAGAGGTTTCACTATACGTAGTTTATTGACAGGATATCACTCCCTTACGCACAGGAAATAACAACTTAACGTGATTAAGTGCGAGTCGACCATGTGATGGTTGATGGTGTACTTTATACTGGAGAGATATAAGCTTCCTATTGTGTGTGTGTGTGTGTGTGTGTGTGTGTGTGTGTGTGTAATAATAACAATCACAATAGTAACATACCAAACAACCTCGTACCTATACCACCTTACCATCGTCCCCACACAAAACTTTCCACCATCTACTAAAGACGGAGCCCGTGTCTAACAAGGGAACTCGGGTCAAATCTCTCTTAGCTTGTAACTTTAGCAGTTTTGGGGGCGAAAATTTTCTACAGTAGGGAGAGAGAGAGAGAGAGAGCCGAGAAAGTTTTACGGGAAAGATGTGCGCCGTGTTAGGTTCTCTGATGACCGAGTTTAGCCTAATTGGGTAACTTTATCCGTTTCCTCGTTATGGGGAGAGAATGTAAAAGGTTGTTTGTAGACGATGGGAAGGAGGGAGAGAGAGAGAGAGAGAGAGGGAAGAGTTGGATAGGTCGAATACGGCTGAGAGAAAGAGTAGGAACAAATCAACATATTATTTCTTATAACAATATACTACTCCGTTTTAACCCTGTTTGTCATTCTAGTTAGATTGTCTTAGTATTGGGGTAGGGTGTGTGTGTGACTGTGGGTATGTATAGTAGGTATAAATCTGCTTGTGTGAAATGGTAACAATATAATCATTAAAACCTAACCTAACCTAACCTAGCTTATCCAAACCTAACCTAACCAAACCTACCCTAACCTAACCTAACCTAACCTAACCTAACTTATCCAAACCTAACCTAACCAAACCTACCCTAACCTAACCTAACCAAACCTAAACATCTGTAGACGAATCAGTTATTTAGTAATGAGGCAGAACAAAGCACATGTAAACAGCAAGTTAATAAAACACATAGGCTACACGACCATACTCTTCATGTACACTAGACCAACACTTACACATAGGCTACACCACCATACTCTTCATGTACACTAGACCAACACTTACACATAGGCTACACCACCATACTCTTCATGTACACTAGACCAACACTTCGCTGCTACACAATAAACAACATTCGTATGTGGTTTTTTTTTTTACTTTTTTCTCGCGACTGTTACATGAAAACACACACAATTATTTTTTAGTTATTATTGTTATGTGATGGATGTGTTGTCGTTTATTAAGGTAACAAAATAACATAAGCTGAGTATTGTTTTCATGTGGAATATCAATGACAAAATATCGTGATTGGTTCATTACAAAAATTATAATCATTCATTGTATTACTTAATTCCAAAAATAATCAAAATTTTCTGGAGGGATTCAATCTGCATGTAAACAAATGAGTAACTGGTAAATGTGAACTTTAAAACAGTCTGCCTCTCCTCGTTTTCTCTCACAACAACCATTTTCTATAAACCCCTGCACGGACCTGCTCATTTTAGTCTCTCTTGATCTACGAAAGAGGGATTTCGTTAATTGATTGAGGCTTAGTGAAGGTGATGACGATTATTAACTTTTTTTTATAATTTCATATTTATCAGTTTACTATCCGTTCAGGGGATTGGTCCGTTCTTTGTTGCATTCTAATGACCTTAATTCACCCCCCAACAAACACAAATACATAGGTGCAGGTAGTGCCAAGTTAGGTTTATTCATGTGCTGACCATACACTGAAATTCTGAGAGCGTGATTCACGAAAACGAAATATTAAGTAAAAGCCCACATTTTTTTTTTTTCATTAGAATTTATTAATTTATCGTGTGTTTCTTTGAGTTTTCTGTTAAGTATTCCTCAAGGTATATTGTCTTGGGTAAAAATTTCAATCTGTATTTAAAGTATATACAATTTAGCTACACAATCCAATATCATGAAAATGGTGACCGTAGTGAGGGGAATGAAAAATGCCTGACAAAAAGCTCGGGTATTCACCGAACCGCCAACACAACATACACAAAGGGGGGGAGGGGGGGGGGGCGGTGGACACAACAGCGTCTAGCCCCGGCCCTCGATTTCAATTCAGCGACCAGGGACCTATTCCCATAATGATCGTGCTAGCTCTGGCGGTTCCGGTCACGTAACTTCTATTGAAAAACTCAGGCTTATCAACATTCAGAATTCAGCTTCCTGTTATTATTAGAAATAGCGAGTGAATTTAATAATGAATTGTTTCTAGATACGAATAACATCTGTGTGTGCAGCAAACTAGTCCACAGACCCGGTGCTAGATGCAAGTTGTCAAAACTTTAGGTTAGGGTAGGGTTGGTAAACTATGTTTAGGTTAGATTAGGTTAGGCCATGATAGGTCAGGTTAGGATAGGTTAGGTTAGGTAAAATATGTTTAGGCTAGGTTAGGTTAGACTTCTTCATTTTTATATTACCTATTTTCAAAAGCGCTGGCTCGACTCCTATCCCAAGGTTATCTGATTCATAACCACGGCACTCTTAGCTTACTCCTGTGCTTGGCATATAACAATGCAGTTGGGGAAATGAAGGCATCCAAGTGTAGTACCAGCCATACTGTCTTCTTGTGTATACCGTAGGCTTAGTTTACAGTATGGTGTATCCTCACTGCCCTTAACGAACCATTATCAAAATATACCCTGCCAACCTGAAGTCTACGAAGACCTAAGGCAATTTCCCGTGTAATAAATCGCTATGCTAAATCCTTGAACCGTAATTCTTCAAGGTGTTGTAGTGGGAAGACATCCACCCACAACTCAGGGCTTCCAATCTCCCGGAGGTAATTGATTCTCAACCTGTGTGTCTCCAATAACAACAAACTACCTGTCGCTCTGGTCTATTGGTGAGGTTATCGAGTCTCATCTAATAAGCGTTACCATGATATAGGAGGAAATGTTTTTTGATGTCAAGTAGGGATAATATTCATCATTCCCTCAGGTGTGTGTGTGTGTGTGTGTGTGTGTGTGTGTGTGTGTGTGTGTGTGTGTGTGTGTGTGTGTGTGTGTGTGTGTGTGTGTGTGTGTGTGTGTGTGTGTGTGTGTGTGTGTGTGTGTGTGTGTGACCAAACTAAACTAAAGTGTACTCACAGTTGTTAATGTTGTCTGTATTGATGTTATTTATATATATATATAAATCAGTAATAAAATCATATCACAGGAAAATAATGAATCGTGTCAGTGATTGATAGTTTGATTAAAATTCCTGACTTGTGATTTAGTTTAGTTATTGACGTCAGTAATATGTACCTGAGACACACATGGTTACATATTATTGATGCATTCAGTACATGACGTTGAAGTTTCTGCATTCCTCTACTTATATATAAAAATTAACTTAGAGAACCTAACCTAACCTTTATTCAAATATTATTGTACTGTCCTCACCTAACATGGTCACGGTGGGCTGGGGTCTAACATGAGGTGCAAAACAAAACATGCTAAGTGCGTGTAGGTAGAGGAGCAGACGTGTTTATTGTCACTTGAGATTTGCCATGTACTGTACCATCAAGAGAACCCGTATACTGTAGTGTATAACCAGACTTCGGAGAGGATAACACTGAAGAAATTTTCATTGATCTTTTGTTCTTGGCTAAAAAACATATAATGGAGGTCAATTTGGTGGTAATGTTGTGTTGTGTCTCGCTTCAGGTACAGCGTGGTGGAGGTCAACAATGGTGGTGTGGAGACCAGGTTGGCTCCTGAGGCTCCACCTTTATCTTCCAAAGACGAGACAGGCAGCCTACTGGGGCCAGATAGTCCACATCACCTGGAGGTAAGATATTCCCTCCTCTCTCTCACACCCCTGACCCCCCCTCTCCTCTCTCTCTCTCTCTCTCTATCTCACACACACACACATCCCAGAAGATGCAATATCATGACGAAAACCATAGTGAATTAAAACACACAATATATCACATCACAGTAGAACATAAAGGGACTTGAGTAAAAAATAAAACAATAATCATAAATCATATTGTGTTTTACGTTGGAATTTCGTGTGAGTGACTGAGTCTATTATACTTCTTCAGGCTCTTGAAAGGTTACACTTGATAGTTCATTGTCCATCGGCGTTCAAATATTCATCTTAGCCTTGACCTTCCCGTTAGTCACTGTGTACTGTTGCGGACAAAACTCTCTGGACACTTGGTAGTATCTGGCATCTAAGCACCTGAGGATCGTTAGGTGAAGGTGATTAGAGTTTTAATGTAGTTTCTCATTTCCAGCTGATGATAACTCCAGTTGCCCCGTTTGTATTGCACTGACAGAGACAAACACACAAACACGTGTATCAAGTAACAGACGTAACGATTACAGTAACATCATAACAGTGACAACAAAAACTAAGTCTTATAATACAGCTGAAGCGGCATTAACCTGAGGCGCTGTTAACCCATGTGTTAGTTGTACTACATGTGTTAGTTGTACTACATGTGTTAGTTGTACTACATGTGTTAGTTGTACTACATGTGTTAGTTGTACTACATGTGTTAGTTGTACTACATGTGTTAGTTGTACTACATGTGTTAGTTGTACTACATGTGTTAGTTGTACTACATGTGTTAGTTGTACTACATGTGTTACTATAATAGGTATCTTTATTGGGTTATTTTGGTGTTTGTGTCACATGTGTGGTCATGACAACCACCCACTGCCTCTAAAGGTCTGTACCTACGTCACTGTTGGATTATAAATGTCTTCATAGTGTAGACGTGTGTGTGTGTGTGTGTGTGTGTCTGTCTGTCTGTCTGCCTGTCTGTCTGTCTGTCTGTCTGTCTGTCTGTATATTACAACACAAATAAGTTAATTGTTTTGCTGGTATTCCATATATTTATGTCCATCTAAATGTTCATTTACTAATACCAAGAGATCCTGTTACGACATGGATTATATTCATCTTAACACCGTTATTAAATGTACGTGTTGAAGCTCACTATACAGGACACACTATACAGGACACACTGTACACTACACATTATAGTACAGTAGTGACGGTGAAGATCTGTCTGTCCACAAACATGTTTTCATCTTGTTAAAAGGACACACATTAAGCTGGCCTTTCCCCGCAGGATGAGAGTGTGATGTCCGCTCAGTGTGGACACAAAACTAATTCTATGGTAAGCGTTTCTTAGTGACCATTTGAAGCTTTATAGAATTAGTGTAACCATATAGTGTAGCAGCTGTATGCTCTTAAGTCCGCTTTGTACATATATAGAATATCCTGATATAATTAAAGGCGATTATAGAATCCATTAAACCTTAAGAATAATAAGTTCGTTTCCTACTGCCAGAGACGCAGGATTACCAAGAAGAATATTTTGGTTTCGTTTTTATGTTTTATTTCTTTGTCATTTTCGTGATCATCAGAAACCAGGTCATGATGGCAGAGTGGTCGAGTCCTCGTGTATGATTTCAGACTAGGATGAAAATAGTGAGGTGTAATGATGTCAGTGAGGATCCAGTGAGAGGCCCTGACTACCTGTTGGCTGGGGACGCCTCTGATGTAACCAGGACACAGTGTGTTTCATGTGAGTAATTGCAATACTTGGGCGAGGATGTCAACACTCACGCCGCCATCACGAGATGTGCTAGAAATACGTCTGATTAAAGGTAAATACATCATGATCGTGGTGGTCTCAAAGCTCAAGTACAACAATATTTATTAAATTAACATGGGCGTTTTTTTTTTTATTTCTTCAGCATTCTGTACACCGTGACAGAACCTGTCCCCCCCTTTTTTTTAAGCTGTGTTGCTGTTTCGTCAACTAACACACAATATCGGTAATTTGGGCGGGAAACTGATAATATAACTTACGCTCATAACACAAAATTCATGTCACAAGGCGTTTATTTAACTCCCGACGATATAATAGCCTACCGTTGCAAGGTGGATGTTCCCGGGTGTTGGAAAGTACACCGTATATATTGATTATTCTTACACGATCACAAGTTATTATCCCAGTATGTAAACTTTCCTCAAATGACAAATATTCCTGTATAGAATTGTTTGCTTGATTTTATTTATTGAGTTCTGGGCGTCCGTTTCCCTATTATTGTGAATCACCAGATAGCCATACGGCCTTACAGTTATTTATACAGGACATTCAGTGGCTGGATTATTGAACAGATGATTGAACGGTGACCGATGTGAATATATTAGTGAACGAATGAAACTACGGAATTATTTATTATGTTGTGTCTGCTAGTGAAGGATTACATATTATAAATTCTCCCACATGCTTAGTATCTTCCCACCTACACCCACACATCAACTATGTCCTCCACCCACACATCAACTTCCATGCACCCCCACACTATCTCTTACCCCACACATCAACTCCTATTCTCAACACACTAACACCCACCCAACACCCTAACACTCACCCCACACCATAACACCCACCCCACCCCCTAACACCCACCCCACACCCACACCCACCCCACCCTACACCCACCCCCTAACACCCACCCCCACACCCTAACACCCACCCCACACCCACACCCACCCCACACTCTAATACCCACCCCACACCCTAACACCACCCCACACCCTAACACCCACCCCACACCCTAACACCCACCCCACACCCTAATACCCACCCCACACCCCTAACACTCCCACACCCTAACACCCACCCCACACCCTAATACCCACCCCACACCCTAACACCACCCCACCCTAACACGCACCCCACACCCTAACACCCACCCCACACCCTAACACGCACCCCACACATTAAAACCCACCATATTTGTTTTTTTTTTGTTTCTTCATTAAGCAAGACGCTCCTATCTTTGATTTTATTCGAATTATATCTTTATCATAAATCTTGTTTTTTGTGTTTTTTTTTTCATTCGTATTGTGTTTATTGCGTCAGAATAGTTTGGTCAACATATTTCAGACGTCAGCCCGGGTCCCTCATATAGCTTCGTGGTGTTGAACATACTCTACAATTACCCAGGATGGAGACTTAAAGTACATGACCAGACAATAAAGGATCCGTTTTGTTTTTTTTGTTTTTTAAATGAAATACTTTATTGTGTTGCGCCATTAGTGAATCCATGCGTACCATCAACCTGGTTGGTGTTGATTGATACGGACTCATCATTATATATATAGGTTCTCATTGATCCAGACACAGTAATCAAAGCAGGGCACAGTAACAGAACCACATTGAACTCTTCATCAAATTATAACATAAAGAATGTGCGTTTATAAGATAAGTAATTCTCGTATACGCTAATTATTTGATAAACCACAATCACACTTACGTGTTATGGGTCTAATGCCAGCAGAGGTGTTCACAGTATGGCTGTAAGAGGTAGTCTGAGTATATGTAAGGCCAGACAGACACAGCCACCTGCAGAACTGTCTACTTCAGCAAGACCGCTCTGTTGTAAACATCTTCTTGGCTCCCTCCACTCCCCTCTCCTACATCTTCAATACTCTCATAACTAAACTTTTTCAAACAATTTATTAACACTGTCCACGTGGTTCCCCGTGGGCGGTAACACAAACGATTAACTTAACTAAACTGTTGTTAACGAGTTGCATGATCCAGTGTCGAGGAAGGTCCGAGAAGACTGGACAACTTGTCAACTGCACGGGCTAACCATTACCCCAGAACACGATCTGCTAAATCGAGTAACATCCAGGTTCCAAATTACTGTTGGGTAGACAAATAGCGTAAAGGAACTTGCCCATAGTTTTACCCTGCCCGGGAAAGAACCCGGGTCCTCTCGCTTGCGAGGCAAGCATGCTGACTACCCCAATAATCATACATACACCAGTACAGACATACAACTTACATAAGACCGAGAGACTAAGTGTAGTGTTGTTGGTATGTTGCAGGTGCCGCCCCGCCTGGTGGTGTGCAGCTCTTCGGTGTCGTCGGCCGCCTCCGCTGACTCCACCACCGGCTCTCGTTGGTCACTCTGTGAGACCAACGGTAAGGCCCACCCGCCCAACGCCAATGCCGGCGCTCGCACGCCCACGCAGCCACAACACGGCCATAACTGTTACAACGCCTGCCAGTCTACCAACGGTTCTGGCACCAATGGCTCGCCCAGGAAACGCAGTCATCCGCCTAAAATCAAGTTGAAGTTTGCGTTGGCTAAGGAACGCAAGGCGTCCACTACGTTAGGTGAGCTGCTTCTGGTGTTTATCATGTTAAGTATTGCTGACACTTTAATATTTCTTACACGGAGAGAATCCTTGAATGAAACATTGATACAGGTCACTCTTTTTATTCAAAAACCCTAAATAATTACTATATTTTAAGACTTGCAGTAAACAGAAACTAAAAAATCAGTAATAATAAAGTTTGATCATTGTGAAAAAAAAATTCTGATCAGACTTTATTCCTAGTGATATTTAGGTTCTGTTTACTGCATGTCTTAAAATATTATTTTTTTAGGGTTCTGTAATAAAAGTATAATAATTTTCATCACCGCTTTGTACAGAATTGTGACTAAACGTCTATCTTTCTTTTGCTTATGTATATTAATTCTAACTTGGGGATTGTATAACAGTAATTGTGACTTATTTAATTATAGTAACATTTAAAATTGATATACCAGTAATATTATGTATGGCATTTATTCTGTTATCATTAATGAATAACTCTTGACACAAACAAGTAATTAAATCTGTTATAATTATTAATATTTACACAACATCAATTTATCTCATTAAGTAATATAAAAAAAAAAATTTAATATCCAGATTTAAAGCCAAAATTTACCTAATACTAAACATAATTAATAAACTTGTTTCGTTGAGTACACACACCTGGTGCATTTAATTAAGCAATAGTAATTTAATGTTTTTCCTCGTTGTTTGATGTAAATATTGACCAGAGATACAGCATACACTAATGAGGTATGACTCCCCCGTTCAAGGTAATAGCTGTCACAATTATAAAACGGAAGGAAAATAAACTCACTTCCTGCCATTACCTGTTAACAGATCGTCTCTCAGTTCCCGTTGTTTATATTTCCCCTAAAGTTTGTCATTTTAAACCCATATCGTGTTGTTTTATTAGCTGTACTGTTTCCCTCATTAACTGTTGACGTTCCGATCAGAAACTTTCCGTTGTGATTCTCATATAACGCTGCATCATGGTGAATTACTTACTTTTAATATAAAAGTTGGAGTGGCCATCAGAGGCAGCGAGCATAACCCGGAAGAAAAAAAATAGACAAAAACTTTATTGCGCAGCGGGTTTTTTTTTTATTTATATTGCAGTCAGCCTTTGTAATATATGCAAAAAATGAGACAATATGAGATTCAGATGAGTTCTTTTTTATATATACTGTGTAGGTAATATTTCCCTCACAAGCGCTAAGGAAGATTAATTTGACAGAAGTGTACAGTGTTGCCAAAATCCACGAACAAAAGTGTTGCCAACCCTTGAAGGAAATGACTACGTATTAGAAAATCGACTCCTGTCTTAAAAATGTAAAAGAAAAAAATTTAAAAGTTTGTAAATTCTGAAAAAAATATTTGTTTTCTTAATTTCTGAATAGACACCAAAAGCACGTATTAATATATGTTTCTCTATCATATAACATAACACTTTGCTATATTGAGAAGTGATAAACTAAGCTCTGTTATAACGAGATGGTTGTCACACAGGGATCATCATGAGCGCGTTTGTGGTGTGTTGGCTGCCGTTCTTCGTGTTGGCCCTGGTGCGTCCCTTCAAGAAGCCCTCGGCCATCCCTGCCTGGATATCCTCTCTCTTCCTCTGGCTCGGGTACACTAACTCTCTCCTCAACCCCATCATCTACGCGACACTCAACAAGGATTTCAGGAAGCCGTTTCAGGTAAGTTTTCTAATAATCTTTAATGACTTCAACAAACATATAAGTAACTAATATATAATATTTAGTGATGGTAAATTTCACTTTATTTTTATTTAGTTAAAACAAATACAAAATAAATTATGAATCGTATTAAATGACTAAAGATTTTATAAAGTTAGAAAATTGAATAATAATTTTAATGTATTTTTTACGGCATTTTCTGTTAATTGTATTTTAATAGAGAAAAATGGTGATGCTAGAGATGTTTTAACTTAACCTAACCTACACACACACACACACACACACACACACACATACAGTTCTTTACCTAAATTAATAATTATCAGAGGTCAAAGTGAAAGTAGAAAGGTCGCTAATACTAAATATATTTATGTCCAAGGTGACTCAATATGATAGAAGATATTAATCATACTTTTACAACAACTATTATTTACAACAACTATTATTTACAACTTTTATTTACAACTTTTACTTACAACAACTATTATTTACAACAACTTTTATTTACAACTATTATTTACAACTATTATTTACAACAACTATTATTTACAACAACTATTATTTAACAACAACTGTAATTTACAACATCTATTAGTTACAAATTCTACAACTGTTATTTATTTTATTTTATTTTATGGGTCAAAAAACATTTCCCAAAAAGCCACTCACTCTAAAAATATTTGCTGCAGTTTTTAGTTTTTCACACCATTGTGGTCTCTGACATTTGGCCGCAAGTTGGTTGTGAGGATTAACCCGAGAGTATTTTTATTTCTAGGCTTCACTAACTCTCTACCAGTGACGGTTTATGAGTGTCTGAATCAGTGTTTGTTTTTATGTTTGAGAAAGAAGAGGTAGGCTTTTTTTACCCCCCCCTCACCTCCCCTCTCCCCGAGTGTCTGTCTGTTTGTATGTCATCAATCGTCTGTGTCTGAATCACCAAGTGTAGCCTGATATCTTTAATCCAGGTAATGTAAACTGTATTATATATAGTTAAAATCAACAATAAACTACCACAATATATCCGGGTTTGTGAGTAAAGTTATTCCCCATATCTAAAAGCCTTTAATGACGAAACTCACATTTGTTAATCTAGTTTGTCAACACTG